AAAAAAAAAAAAAAAAAAAAAAAAAAACTGACGCATGAGAAATAGTGTTGCGCCATGTAGATGGTCTTACCTTTGGGGTTGTTGTGTTTTATGGGTTGTCTAAAGGCCTCTCTTAAAACAGATTTTAATTGAATGGGCTAGACGGTCTAGAACCTAGCCCATTGGGTAATAGTTAAAATTAGGTGTTGTTTGTTACTGAATAGGTGAATCATTTTATTTGGTAGTCAAATTTTGGAGATAAATTAGAGTTCTGATGTGAATTAGATAAACTCTAATTAATGTTTTCTTAAACAAATAGCACTTTTAAAATAGTTTATTTTTCATTTAGAGGTTTTATCTTTTAAAAATATATTGTATGAAAGAAAAAGAAAAAAACTCAAAATATGAAATAATTTGGAATAAATAATTGTAATTTTTTTATTTTTTTTTACACTGTCATAGCTAATCATAAAATTAGTTGTTTTAATTGAATAGACTAGTACAACGCCCGTGTATTACACAGATGCTTGCTTTTTTTTTTCTTAAAATCTAAAATTTATTTATTATATAAATAGACAATGATATTTACTTGAAATTGTAACTAAAAATAAGTAAAAAAATATTTGGTTTCCCGCCTAAAAATTCAGATTTACTAAATTGGGTAATTTTTTTAGCCAAAATTTGAAAAATCCCGCTTAAATTATTGTAATTAATGTACATAACAATTTGGTCAAATAGTGCGGTATTATATTTATTAGTTGCTTGATATAAATTTGGAATATAATATATTGACAAAACTTGCGACTATTGCCTTTATTAGTTGCATGGTTTAAATATGGTATATAAAATATTAAAAAAATGAAAAGATTTTTATTTAAAACTAAAAATAAAAATTAATTATTCACAACTTACGGGTCAATATTAACTTTGACATACACGAAATAGTCAATTATTTATAGTTTGATAAATTAGTCAATAACTTACAAGTCAATATTAACTTAAATATAAACGAAATAGTCAATTATTTATAGTGTAATAAATTACAAAACTACTTAATTTTTTATTTTAAATTATACAAAAATAAATTTATTTTAAGTAACGAAACAATATAAATTTCATATTTATACTTATTATTCAAATAGATTATTAAATATATGATAAATTTTACTAAAATAACTATTTTACGGAATCACATTATAGTGAAATCGATTTTCCGAATAAAACTTTTGAAATGACACTTATGTTGAAACAAATATAATGTAATTTATTATCAGTTATGTGAACCGGACCGCACGTGTTGTGTACTAATTTTAGATAGATATTTTATGTGATTTTGCACAATTTAAACTTTATATAACATTTTCAATAATATAATATAGGTAAATTGTATTACATATTGATTCCATTTTTTTAATTTATAAATATTATTTAGTAAGATTTTTTAATTTATAAACATTAATGAATATCTCTTGTCCGTGCAGTGCACGGGAGTCATACTAATTAATGAGAAAAGTAGTTGAAGTTTTAAATACTTTTTATAAAAATACATATTATTAAATATTTAGTATGACACTTTTTATTTGTGCTACTTACCCATGTTATATTATAATAATTTTTTAACTTACAACATATAACTACATTAAACATAAATATATCAATTGAAAAATAATTTTATTTTTCTAATGAATTTTAGTAATTATTATTATTTTTTATTATTATAAAGATAAATATAATTTATTTATTTCATATATACAATATGGATGTCAAATCGAAGATCGTCAAAAGATGATTAATTTGATATATTATATATGTAAAATCGATAAGAAATACAAAAGTTATCAACTTTTAAAATACATTTACATTCAATAGCTAATTGTAGGAAGCAAATCAAAAGTCAAGGATATATTAGTCACTTAGTGTCTCACTATGTAAAATTACAAATAGTTAAAGGGTTATATAAGTGCAACTGATATTAAACTACATAAGTTAGCTAAATAATATTTATGTAATGTCCGAACTTAGATTGTTAATTAATAATATATCTGGATAATGCTCCCTACCCACGGTGGACACATGTTAATATGCTCACTGCTTATGTGACATGCACACATTGGTGATGTTAATATGTTCAAATAAATACATCACCAATGAGTGAATGCCACATAAGCTGTGTGGACATATTAACATGTGCTCACCGTGTGTAGGTGAGCATTACTGTAATATATCAATATTATTTGTCTAAACAAACATGATTATTCAAAGCACCAGAAGCAGCCACGTAGGCTCAGCACATTCAAAAATTATTTATAGGGGAGGGGGATATTACTCTTTTATTTAAAAGTTTATCATTCAATTAACGTATCATTTTTTTTTTTTTTTTTTTTAAAGCAGTGTTTAACTCTATAGTAATTGTAAGTGCAAGTTATGGAACAGGAAAGTACGCTATTTTAAGTCTGTTGAAAACCTTTTATCCACCCAATACAATAATAATTAACACCTAGTTGTTTAGTTGCATTTTTATAAAATCAGTTGGTGCACCACATCAAGATTGCAACCTTATCAATCATACGTCTCAACAT